ACACGCTAATACCCCCCCCCCCCTGGGAATGGACGTATGTTCAAACGAATGTACATTTTGTTACATATTGGGACGTTACCTGATGTTGGGGTTGAATGTCTTACAGGCTTCAATGTCCGGCTGTTTCTCCTTACAGATAGTGACCAGCCCAAAGCAGTCTCTGTTGGTTCGCATGTTGTCACCGACGGCACAGAACGATGCCAGACGCTGGTGGTGGGGGGATAAGATGAGGGATGCAGGGAGGGTAGGGGTCGTACAGGGCACGGTTAAGATTTAGTTTTAGTAAGGTTTTATGGCGCTCGCAACTGCATCAGGTCGTTAGAGCGCCAAGGGGTTGATGTCAACAGAGAAGTCCAAACAGGGAATCATTCTTACTTTGTTCACCTCTCTAGCCCCAACAGCACAAAGTCTGCTTCGACTATCAAGGCACCCCAGAAACAGCAGTTCACAAGAGAGTGACAAGCATACAAAAGAAGTAGAGGAAAGTTGGGAAGTTTGTGTGAAAAATGTTTTTTCTTTAGAGAGTGATGGTTAAAGGAACGGTAGAGAGTTCGGGGGGTAGGTCAGGGTGTGGGAGAGAAAGGGAGGGGTTACAATTGGGGAGGAGAGGAGAATGGGGATGGAGGGGTGAAAGGAGGGAGAGGTGAGGGGAGGGGAGGGGTGAGAGGAAAAGGGAGTAAGGGGAGGTAGAGGGTAAGAGAAGGGAGGGGTAGGGGGAGAGAGAAGGGGAGAGACGGGAGGGGTGAGGGGAGAAGGGGGTGAAGAAAGGGAGAGAAAGGGTCAGGGGAGCAAGGAGTGAGGGGAGGAGGACACCAAATGGTGTGTGGCACGAAGAGAAGAACCTTGAGCTTATCAAAGGAGGAATCTGTGCGTGTCTGTGCCACTGTGTATACAGGTGGGAATGTGAGTGTACATACATACATATGTGAGGCATCATGGTGAAATCAGGCGCTCGTCAAAATAATGAAATCAAAGAAACAGGTATTTTTCCTCCTCTTGTCAAAATTTGTCAATTTTTTTGGCTCAACACCTTTTATATAAATAGAAAAATATATTTCCATGTGAATTTTACTGAAAAACGTTGATTAACGGCCGAAAATATGTAAATCTCCCTTTTCAAGGACTCTCAAGCTATAGAAGTTACTAAACTTTGGCGGCCATTTTCTCGCAAATTTTACCTCGGAAAACAGGTTACCTCTACCTAATTTAATCGCAAATATGATAGATGGGTATTTTTTTCACAGTAAGAAAGACAAATAAACAAGCTTTAAGATTTCACCAATAACTCCATACGGTTAAAAATTGACGAGCGCCTGATTTCACCGCGTCTTGACACATATTATAAACATACGTACAAGTAAAACAAATAGACAGACAAACATACTAGCACACAAACCTGCATATATACAATATAGATGTAAACAGACAGACAGGCAGACAGACAGACAGACAGACAGACAGACAGACAGACAGACAGACAGACAGACAGATAGACAGACAGACAGACGGACAGGCTACGTACCCCGATCGCGCGGTTGGCAAACGCTGTCCTCAGAGCTATCTCTGGGCCTGACAAAAGAAGAATGTAAAGTGTTATTGTATTGCAAACAAAGGGCCAAACAAATCTATTATCCACACCAGCGTCTTTGGTTCAGTGGTTACGCTTTTTACTGTTGCACGAAGGAGACTTGACTTCGATTCCCTGCGTGGGGGAATTTGTTATATCGAGCATCTCCGTTTTTTCTATATGAATCAGTATCCCATTCAGTTCTGGTTGGTTCTAGGAAGACTTGGTCGAAGCATGCCGCCACCTAAATGATCTGAGTTTTCACAATACGAACTAAAAGAAGTTATAGCAGTCTTTACAGGCCACAGCACATTAGATCAGATAGCCAGCCCGTTGTTAAAAGGCACTTTGCCCAAAAGTTTGATTTTCTTTATTGCAATTTCTTGGTCTTTGATATCAGTTGCATGTGCTCAAGAAGCATTTTGTCTCAATTCAATTTCTAAGCGTTGCAACAAAAAAGCAAAGAAAAACCCCCATATAATCTAGAGTACAATATAATCGATGAAAGAAAGTAACACTTAATTTTCTCTACTGAGAAGTTTTTCTGAACTCAATACATTTACCCAGTATGTCAATTATATTATTTTCAATACGTTGTGGCACACATGGGACAAGGGAGGGG